AATTGAAATGGTTTGGGCCACAATGAAAGAAAGCTTGCGGAAATGTAATCAGTCACCGACTTTGAATGCTGTAGTGCTTGACAATATAAGGCGAGTGGTGAATGAAGTAGGTAATAGTGATGTGTGGAAGAACTGTGTGGCCCACGTTATAAAAGAGGAGAACAAATATTTTGTGCAAAGTTCCATGAATCCGATCGTTATTCAACCTGATGATGATTTCATATCATCCGAATATAGCGAAGAAGAATTTTGATTTTTCTAGCAATTTTGTTGGCTTCTATTATTTTGTAAATATATGCTTGACGAGAATTCGGTGTAATTATTTGTGTTTTCATTGTATTTTAGAGTTTTCGTCTCGGGAATCAACTATCTTAAATTTCGAAGTTTTTCATAATTACCCATGTTCGAAAAATTCAGTTGAGATAACTTTTTCATGGGGTGATCAATTGCTATGATTGTAAGAATAAGTAACTGAAAAACTACCACTGAAAAATAATATGCCGACGCGTATGTCGAGGCGGAAATTCCTTCTCTGTGCTGTTCCAATTGGTATTGGAATTACTATACTTCAATTTGCGTTGCTTTGTCCAGTAATCTTGGTTGATCCCTCACTTCATTTGTGACAGTACCAGTTTCTTGGACTTTTGCTACTAGTTGGCGAATTTAACGTGACTTACATTTCTCTCCAGGTGCCGCAGTTTAAATACTTTAGTTGTTCTTAACAAACACTGATCTCCTCTACCATACCATGAATAAAAATCATATCCACCCGTTCAGATGTGTTGTATACCATTATTGCATATACAAATTCTCTTTACCGTATAATATAATGTATCGAAATAAAATTTAAATGTATAATGAGAGTATCGTTTCCCGTCTTGAAGTAAAAAATGCAATACAAAAATTCCTTTCAAAAACAACTATTTCAAACACCTCTTTCTTGTTACTTTCACTTATCAACTGAGTCAATTTTTTCAGTTAAAATTAACAAAAATAGTACAGGCGTGACATGTTTATGAGTCTCAATAATAATGCTACGATGGTAATGAAAATGTTTTTGAGCATTTATTGAACTGATGATGGAAAATAAAATTTCAATTTGGGTATTTTATTCAATAAACATAGCTTACATATAGCTTCGTAGGGTACCACTGACACATGTCGGATATAATCCAACGCACTTCGTGGTATTGGCCGGTTGTTTTCTGATAGATGTTAGTCTATTAACTTACAATGTAGGATCACAAGTAGGTAGTTGCCGTTTGAGAATATATAAAGTTGGGGTGGCTGGGGGCAGAGGGGTAAGCCAAAACAGGTTGGCTATAACATCATTTCGTTTCCTCCTTTCTATTATGAAATTTATGTTTAGTGATTTCTCATTTTCATTTGGTATAAAAAGACTAGCAATAATGAGAAGTGAACCTCTCAACTTCGCTTGCTATACTTTTCAAATTCACATCTTTACTCATTGCGAGTTTGTTGGGCCCCAATGCAGTTTTGAAACTGCAGTTTTTGCGACGCATATTCAGAGTATGTTCGTTTTGTTATCAAGTCGATGCTCGTTATTGAGCATGTAAGGCTTGTTTGAACGAATAAAAAAAGAATTCAAATCATCTAAAAGAACAACTCGTTCAAGCCAGTCTCAACTCCCTATACTGTAGTGTAATGGACTGACATCTATCAGAAAAATACTACTCCCCTGGCTAATACCACGAAGGGCGTTGGATTATATCTGACAGGAGTCAGCGCAAGATTTTTCACTGAAGTTATTTCTGCATATACCCTTGGCGATACAACTGCCGCAATAGATTTCTAATTATTGGAACACACTTGCAGACCGGTTTTGGGCTGGACACTCATCAGGACAACTGAAAATCGAATTCCTATAGAGTATCATTCCTCGAGCTAGGCTGAAGCGGACAACAAACAACAGGTTTATCATCACCTCATCTGTCTGTAAATGAGCTAACCCAATTACTCATATAAGGAAAGAAAACTTCTTCTCACATACAGTGCATTTCTTTAATGTCCCCCCTTTTTATTTCTTGAACGGGTCAACTAAAAAAAATTGAAATTTGAGATAATTAAATTGATGTATAAATACTTTATTTAAAAGTGAAAGTGACAGATGAGACTGTCACTTTTGGCGACTAGGCGCCATCTGGAAAAAAAAATTAAATGGAAATGGGGGTTTTGTGACATATCTTTTTGAAGCACCTAACAAATCCGATATTTCACGCGGAACATTTTCGAATACGGTAACGTCAATATCTCTACAAATGTTCATTATTATCAGCCGTATATCCAATATTGAAGCAAGTTCAGTTTCGTGACCTTTTGCTTCAAATAGCCCCAAAATAAAAGTCCAAAGGTGTCAAATCTGGCGAGCGGGCTGGCCAGATTTGATTACTGGAGCAATGTGGTGGTGCTTCATCTAGTTGGAATACATTATCCATATCGAATTCATTGGGATTCGCTTAGAAGATTTCAGTGATGAGAGGGTCAACAGTAGTTACCAGCATATTCAAGTACAGTTCTTCTATCGAATTTTGATCAATAAAAAGAGGTTCAACGATATGGTTTCCCAATATTCCTGCCCAAACGTTGATTTTTTTTGGATATTGGGTATGTGTTTTTCGGAAAACGTGGGGGTTGGTGTCACTCCAATAACGGCAGTTTTGTCTGTGAACATTGCCGTTTGAAAAAAATGTACATTTGTCACTAAAAAAAAAGAGATAATTAGGATGACTTGCAATGGTTTCCTTCTCATTTCGCATAATTCTGTTATTCGATCAGGGTCATCTTCAGTTAATTGGTGTATGGATGATACCTATTCCTCTTCAAAAGTCTCCACACAGTAGAAGGAGATACTTCACAAACATTCGCGACGAAATAAGTAGACTGTTCAGTATTTACTACCATCTCACTATTTGCACTGTTCTTCCGAAATGGACGGATGACCTGGGGGTTATGTATACTACCGGTGATTGGGAATTTGAATACAAGTTCCCTCAAATGTTTTTTACATACAGGACGATTCGGAAAATGTTCAATGAAAATCCTTTCGGTCTCGTGAAAGTTACGCGTCGCACCGTAAATAAAAACCGCTTCAACTTTGTCTTCCAATGGACAAGAATTGACCATTTCAGAGATTGTTGACGTGGTACCTTCCATTTATGGGATGATAGACCAGTGTGTATTCTATCGTTGACGGTGCTAGAATAGTAATTGAGTAATTGGACAAACTGGTGCGGTGGACCGTGTGCGATTACTGTAGTCAAAATTATGGATTGTGAAAGAGAACAGGAAAGGCTGTTGCGTCTTTTTGAGGAAGTCCAACCAGAAGATGGATTCGATGACAAAGAGAAATTGGAAGAGGAAGATAACATTGAAGAAAGGTCAGAGGAAAGCGAAACAGAGAAAGAAGTTGAGGAATTAGAAGTTAGGGAAGAATTATCTTTCATTCGTAGACCGTACTTTATTGGAAAAGACCACAAAACAAAATAGGCCAAACATAGAGGACCTAAAAATGTTAGAACTCGAAGAGAAAATATTGTTCTGCAACTTCCAGGATCAAAACCATGTGTTAGAAATATAACCAATATCCAAGTTATTTGGAATAATTTATTCGATTCGAACATGTTACAAATGATCGTTGATAACACGAACACTAAAATTGAGGCAGAGAGGCACAAGTTTAGCCGTGAACGAGATATATATCCAAAAAACATTGACGAAATTTCGTGCATTGATAGGCCTGTTATATCAAGTCATTTGAACACCCTTCATTTATGGAAAACAGATGGCAC